ACTCTCTGTCTGTGAGGTTTAGAAACCGATCTCTGTAATTGGACACAACGTAAAATGAAAAACCACGCTGGTTGTAGTACCGGAGAAACTCCAGCGCCTTAAAGACTCGAGGCCTTTTCGCTACATGTGAGGCCTTTTTCTCCAACATGTTGACTTCAAACAGAATCTTTCACTTGCTCTAACACAAGCAAACAGGCAGAAAAAGGCACTGACAGCAAAAAACATCCATTAAACGGAGAGAGACAGGAGAGCGAAACAGATAAAAGAAGCGAAAACGAAAGAATGGAGTGAAGACGAAGACAGACAGGGAGCAGCAGAGGGCTTCTCATTAGAGAATCTCTTGTAACGGAGAGTTTTGAAATGACAGCGGATTTAGGCAAGAGCATAATCCGTCTGCGCTATGCCACTGCTCTGCTACCTCCCTGTGCCACTCAGAGGGGAGGGGGCGTCTGCTTTCCAAGAAGCAGTATTCATTCGCTTCAGAGGGAGAGCTACAGGCGGGCGCAGGCTTGGGAAAACTCATGGTAAATATAGATAGAACCATCAGGGAGGCTCTCCAATTGTGGCAAAGTTAAAATTCACATTTTATTCTCTCCCTACTGAACAATTCATATTATGCTTCCTATCTATTGTTAAAGAAAACCCCCACTAGAAAATATATGATAAAAATATATACATATTTAAACCCACTAATCATAATCCACTACTGTGACTAGATTCAGGTAGCAACAGCTGTTCTGATGAGATATGAGTAAGCAATAATGCAATACAAGGAAATAATGGAAAGGTGAAAGCATTACATTCTGTGTCAGGACACCTCAGGAGTTCATCATTCCAATGTTACTGCTGCATTTTGACAAAAGATATAACAGAAAGCTTTGCTAGTCATCTAATATTTAAAGGTTATTTAAAGTAAGGGTAAGTAAAGTTACTTTCACCAGTGATTTAACTGGTAACTTAGCCTGAAGTGTGAGTGCTGCTGCTACGGTTACATTCGGCTAATACTAATACTTTGACCACTATTACGAATAATGACTAAATAAACGGTGACAATAAAGTGTCCTGAAAATGGCTGAACTATGTTGGATTTTTGAGGACTATACTCAATGTTTGTCTGTACTGCAATTTCTACAATGTTATTCATCAGCCACTATATGCACTGACACTGGTGTATCTAACAGTCCAACTCTTAAACGTTGAAGAGTGACACCATGGATTTTGGGATATTTTACCATTTCAGGGTCTTCAGTGAGTTGTTATCAGAAGGCCCAGAATTTTTAGCACCATTGTTAACTACAGCTATTGTATGCACCCTTAGGAAGAGTGTTATCTGAATGTAATATACGGTAGTTGCTAGTAGTGTGCACCTGAACCTAAACTGATTTATGGCAAGTATCAGCAAATAAAATTGTCACTGCTGGCTTCCAGTCTCCTTTATTATAGGCCTTTATGGGCCTGCTTGGAAGCATAATTCCTTTTGTTTTTGCGAGCATGCCATCTATGCAAGGAATTTTGGGCATTTTAACATTGTATTAACAGAATATGCATTAAATTACTTTTTATATTTGCATGTCTGACAATAACGCGGCGGTATGTCAATGAAAACTGTCGCATTATTATTAAGACCTTGTATCATATTGTATGTGGCTCACTGAATTTCCAAATTAGAGGTGACAGACTGAGTCCTGGGGAGTGGGCTTCCCTCCCACTGCTTTGGTGCTTCACTCAGTTAGTTTCTATCCAAGGATGTTGATGATGAGGAAAGGGAAGGACAGAGAAGGAGTGTGTGTGTGTGTGTGTGTTTTGGGGGGGGACAGAGACAGACAGAAAAAGCATGAAAGACAGACAGAGAGCTAGGAGCATGTCAAGTTGCCTGGAGGGAGGTGCCATTCCCCCAAGCAACAAAGTAATCACCTCAAACAGTCTTTTAATGAGGCTGCATGGGGAGGATAAAAACAAATTATGACATTGATGTATTGGTCTGTCGCGCAGCTCCTTATAGAGCCTATCCTGCTCTAAAAAAGAACTGTTTATGAACAAAGAAGGACTGTTTAGAGCGGGGCACCGATTCACTAAACCCCGAGGTAGGCTCTTATGGTACTTGAATCCATCATCATTGGACATTTTAGATTGAGGACTAAGAAATAGTGCCTACTTACACAGTATTAGCCCACTGTTTGCATGGCCTGGGTGATAAACTTGATGTCACTCACCACTAATGAGAGCTTTTTTTTTTTTCTCTCCAAGCCATACAGTGAGCACCCATACCATGTAACTAATTGATGCCCCCGTGCCTTATGTGGGTGCAGCCTAGCTTGAAATTACATGTTTGTGTCTTTTTTTTTCTTCTTCTTTGGCTCGTTCAACCTCAACCCCTCTTCACGCGCGCACACACACGTGGCTAAGCTGATGCTGCCCGTTAACGCCGGTAGTTTAGTGAACGGGAAATGATACATGACAGACAAATCTCTCTCGTTCTGACTGACACACACACACACACCTTCCCCCTCTTCCATCTGCGCGCGGCACATTACTCCGTCACGCATATCTTGAGTTCACTTCAACCTGTGACAGTGAGCAGAGGGGCTTATTCATTTCGTTCCGCCACGAATACAAATGGCACACACACACAACACATAAATTAAAAAAAAAAAAAAAAAAAGACCGACTGAACGTCTAAACCAAGAGGATTTTTTCCCAGCGTCACAAGTGTTTTATTGTGAAAAGGCTTCCCTCCCCGTGGCTCCTGAGGGCATTTCCGCCTCTATACGTCGATAACTCTCTTTAAAGTTTTCATTAAAGCTGTAAAATCCCATAATCCAAAGTGAGAAAAACGCACATGCCGCAATATAAGAGAGAGAAAAAATGTTAGTGGGAAATATTACATTTAGTTTTGCTCACTCATATTACAAATAATCACCTAAATGTCAACAAAAACAAATACATGTTAGAGCATTTCCCTGCAGAAATAAGAGTGAAACTCACCAATCAAGTCGTTCCCAGTACGAACTGAAGTGTGCGCTGGACTGAAAGCTTCCTCACACTTGAGTCTGCCGAGGTGCGTCTCTCCCTCCTCTCCGTGCTGTCTTCACTGTCTGTCCCCGTCACGGCTCAGATAAAACTGCGATCCAAATGGGAAAGAAAACATGAATCCTCCATTTAAAAAAAAAAAAAACACTAGTGCCTGCTGCTGAATCTCACGGGCAGCTCATGATAAACACTCAGTCTACCTTCTTCTGTCACCAGCGTGTGCGGAGAGGGAGGATCGCGCACAACCTCTCTCCTCCCTGTTGTCTCTCACTCGCTGCTCTCCAAGGTTGGATACTCTGAAGCACTTTGAGTGAATCCTGCTGTGGGCATTGCATTGAGTAAGCTATCCCTAGTGACACTTAAATTGCTAGGAAAGTGGATGCAAAGTACTGTACAGATAAGCTACTTGCACTGTTTCCAGATGTTTTTTGCCCCAGTGGTGAAAGTAGTAAGTTTTTGGATGTCTCCCCCCCATCAAGGTTATCAAGGTTAGAGGTGTTTGTTTTTCAACGGCCTCCTTTGGAAAATGTATATTTCATAAGAAGCTATCCAGACTTATTCATAATTCAGAAACGTCTGACTGGGTGGGGCTGGTGGGTGGTCGCAGGGCTGGACAGGACACCCTGGAGAGCCCAGTCACACCACCAGACTGTGACAAAAACAAAACGCTCTGTGACCAAGACATTATGGGCTTGTTGCCAGGGAAGACCGGGAATCTAACGCTGAATGGAAACCAGAAAGCAGCCACTGACAGGCTTACGGAGGCTGGGAGAAGCAGAGGTGACACAGAGAGCTCCAACATCGTCACCTGCTAACTGAAAGAGTGAAATTCTCAAACTGTAGACCTTCACGAGCTTAAATGACAACATATTTCAACTTTTATTTTTTATTTTTTTTCCAAACAAAAACATCTAAACCCAGCAAAACACGAACACTTAACAATAAACCAAACATAACAGTGTGCTGCCCAGGCTCTCTGAACAAAAACAATTCTATTAATACAATCTGCACACAGGAGACGCTGAGGTCAATGCCCAAATGAACCTATACAGAACTGGGGTAAAGGGAAAGAAAACTTGTGATGTAAACCACATACCAAATGTGCATCTCAAAATCACACAAAGCTGCTTTTTAAAGTGTATAAAGTTAAAGAAAGACAAATGAAATGCACTTACTGAAATGTATATATAAAAGAATCATTGTTCACTCATTCAGTGTCAGTAAAATGCTTCGTGCAAGACCCACTGCTATTAGATTAAAACCCAAAATGCTCAGAACCAACCAGTATAAAGTGAACCATGTACAGTGAATGTTTTTTCCCAAAGAAACAGACAGCACATTACTTTCAATCATGTCCTTCATTTTCAAAGTGGATTAAAACTGCTTTCCACTTTTTTTCCCCCCCGAATATGAGTTGATTGATGAGTAATGGGGAAAAGAAAATTGATGCCGTGATTGGTCCTTGAGTATGAACCCCTGGAAGTGTTTGATAAACACCAGTCACAGGATGGGACAGTTTTTTTAAATGCAACACACAAGATGATGAAGTGTGCCACAACATGCTCTGAGGAACTCTGGCATTTGACCAAGATGAGAAATCAGTGATACTGATGAGACGCTATAAAGTGACAAAATCGCCATTCGCTTGCTGCCTCAATCGACACCCAATTAAATAGAACACAAAATAAACTTGAATGCTTGAAATTAATGGAATGACCAAGTGCCCGTATGCTGTAGTAGACAAGTTAATGAATTTTCTTAATCTGAGGCACATTAGACCTGACTTGGAGTTAAAGAAGCATTCTACTCCAATGCTGACACAACCAGATTGCAAAACATTGTTACAATATATATATACAAATGTACCTTTTTATGTACGGAGAGCCCTTGCAGAAGCTAAAAAAGCCCCAACCAAACAAACATTTAAAATAATTCCAAAAATAAATAATAAAACATAAAATATAAATAGTCACAAAGGGTGAGCTTAAAAGTCTTTTTTGTTTGGGATAATGAACAAAGGAAAACAAAACAACAAAAAAAGAATGTGAGCCCATATATCAGCTGGTACGGTGAGGGTGCTCTGCTCTTCATGTGTGACTGTTACTGTGATCCACGTGGGGTTAAAAGCGTCTGACCGCGCGACTGTGGTCCCTACCAGTTGTGGTCAAAGTGACTGTGATCAAACTGGTACAGTTTGAGTGGAGAGAGCTCCTGCAGTCTGGTGTTAAAATGGGTCTCAGAAGTTGAGGGAAGGAAAGGAGAGGGGAGGGCTTTCTGGAAACAGTGCGAGGGAGTTGGGTTGCTTCTAGCCGTCCGTAACATCAAGATGTGATCCTGTCTGCATTTTGACTCACTGTAGCTTGTATCTATTGGAACAGAGGACAGAAAACCACATCACAAGCAATCAATTACACACCCAATCAGGATTAGACAGTTTAAGAGCTGTGTCTGTCAGATAAAATCAAACAAATTCCTGAGGTTTACTGAGTGTTTGTGTAACTGTAGTTAAGACTCAGAAGAAGGGACACTTCAGAGAATTAATGGACTAATGCTGGGCATGACTGCAGAACATCGTGGTTGAAGGAGGAAAAAAGTGATTGTGAAACAGCTAAATAGGGATGGGCAATGGAGGCCCAACAGTATGCAGGTTTTTCTGCTAACCAAACACTAAACCATAAAGTATTTGCCCTGCTCAACCACCTCCTTGAGAAAAGGCGTGCTAGTGGCCCTCCATGGCCATTGTTACCTAGGGTATCTCTGGTATGACAGCTCTTTGTTTGGAGTAGTTTTACCTGGCAAGGGGCTCAGTAGCTCTGGACTACAGCACAGTCAGCATAGTCTGGACTCCACAGTCCACAAAGTTCTGTAAACAGAGTATAAGATCACAAAAAGCTTTCTTAAAGAACAATCTCAGAGATTCTTCGAAGAAATAAACAACTGCTATAAAAACAGTCCCCACCGTACATTGCCAAGTACACAGAATCAACTTTGTACAACTGGGTATTATAACAATTAATTGTTAATGCAGTCCATTCTTCAGTGTGTCAACACTGGCCAGACAACACCATCTAGTGGCCTGCATGACCATTGCAGTTTGTGATCTTTTGTAGCCACAGACAACAGAAATACGTTTTCAAAAATCACTTGGAAACATTACCTTTTTAATATTATCAACCAATTAGAAACGCACACATTTATAAACAAATAAAACATTCAACATAATCCAGTGGCTTTTTTCCATCAATGTTTTCATCCAACTGGCCTTGTGAGCTTCTCAAATGAGAAGTCATCTGCGCTGCGTTGAAACTGAAATGCACTGACATCTACTCATATTCCCACTAAATGCAGAGTCACCTGATTGACAGGCCGTGTCCTCTGGTCCGCCATCCATTGAGGTGGAGTGTACTGCATGTGGTGAGGGGGGAAGAGGGGTCAGCGGTCAAACAGAGGGCAACAAACAAACCCAGACTCGCCTCTACAGGAGATAGGGGTGGGATGGGGTGGAATGGGGTGGGATGGGATGTGGTTTGGTGGGGCATAGGCAGGCACAGGTGGATCTAAACCAGACTGAATCATTTATCTCATAAGCAGGAGCATATGTGCAGTGCCTCAAGAGCCCCAGCACGGGATGCTGTTGACTAATTGGTGTGCATGTGTGTGCGCGTGCGTGTACCTGGTAGGCATAAGCGTTCTGTGCGTAGTTCATTGGCATCTGTGGGATCACGACCCCTCCAAAGTTGGAGTAGGAGTACGGCTGCAAAAAGAGCCAGAAAGAACACTTTAACCCACAGGCTGGAGATAGCAAACATACAAAGCAGATGTTACATTATATCAAAACATCTTACAGCATTAAGTCACTTTGGTTCTCATGTTAGTGTCCTTACAAGGATTGTACTATAACTGCAATGTTTATGACAGTTGGTATTGTCTGAATAATTCACCAATTTGGATATTAATAGCAATGTCATTAATAATGCCATTAATAGTGCCACAGCTAACTTTTTTTTCAATATCTTTTCTGGCAAATGGAAAAGTAAATTGATAGATTGTTCTCCACCATGCACCTCTATTCTTGGCTGAGATAATGAGCAAACTTCCCCTCAGAGAAAATAAGGTTCATTTTATTTTACAGAGTGTAACTGAGAATAGAAAGGTGTGCGACGGCATTACTAATGCAACAGACGCAGAGTGTTTATTCAGCTACACGCCTTAGTGGTTTTTTTTTATAATTCAATCTGCTTGCCTTCTAAGATTAGATTCTGACAGCATGTCTATACCTGATTGTAGGGGCTGCCTCCGCTGAGGATGGGTGAAGGTTGTGCCATACCGCCTCCTACGGGTGAGCAGCAAGCGCAGTAGAAGTACTGAGTGGGGCTCATCCATGGAGCTGGGCCCACCAGACGGGATGGCATGGACCCTACATTACATGTCACAGCAGTGTAAGTGCAAGTTCAGTGGCAAGATCTTTTAACGTATTTGCACTGCTAACTAAATATGCAAAGAAGTTCTTCTGATGTAGTATATCAGAATACATACGAGAGCTCCTTTCTTTCATGATGGCAGGGCCCAGCTTGAGTTTCCGGCCCTTAAAACTTATCTGTTGCTATGGCAAAAAATATGAACAGAGGAAATATTACTCCCAGATGGAGATGAGAAATAACAGAAGACCAGTTCCACAGACAGACATCCACTCACCTCGATGATTGACTGAATGTTGACATCTTCATTGAAGTACACAAACCCATACCTAGGAACACACAACACAACTCTATAAAATACACACTGACTCAATAACAATATCTAATACAAAATTAGAAGAAAAAACAAGCTTTGGATTATTCATAAAACTGAGATGCAAATAAACAATCCGAGTTGACACCCACACATTTTCACACAGGTTAAACAACGAACAAACTCTTTAAGGAGGAAAATGTAGCCTCAGAACAATTAATGTATTCATGTATCTCTAAAGGTCACATGACTGCAGTACAATAATACACAGTGCATAGCTGTTCATTTTGTCTCCTTCCTTACTCGGAAGACAAGACTTAACCATATACTGGAAATTTACAAATGTGTAAAAAGATGTTTAAACATTTAACACCAGCAAAAAGAGTCAATAAAAAACTTTAGCACCTACTTACCCTTTGCAGATTCCTCCACGGTACGTGATAATTTTCACTTCCTTAACAGCACCATATCTGGCAAAGAAGTCCCGCATTTCATTTTCATCCACCTGAAGGTTGAAATGAATTTAAATTGAAGAACTGGATTTTAGTTGCTATCCTTGACCATATTCTCTCCATTATGTACTGCAGAAGAAAAGCAAAGCAGTGCACTCAAGTACACTAAAACAGTGTTTTTTCAACCAGTGGGAGCTACTTTGTGTATATTGTGTATTTGTGTATATATGTGCAGATATAATTTTATTCCCAAGGTTCCCCTAACTTAAGGGTTAGGGTATCATCAATCATCACCAAACATTCAAATGAAATATGGCATTGGAAATTCAATTTACAGTAGAATAAAACTTTCAAATGAAACTATTTTTATTCCTATAAATGTGTGGGCAGCAAGCAGGTAGGAAGGCTTTTGTACTCAGAGGTATGCTTGACCGAAGTCAGTTACCCACTGGTGGGTAAACAAACATTTCGATAATACACTGAAGGCCATACAATGTCTTGTCTGCCTAGATAGGAGTGAGCTATTTCAGATTTACAGTTTAACACTCGAGTAAATGAATAAGTTTAAGACATAAAACCCAAAATAAATCACAATCTCAAACTGGAATAAGAGCTTGGTCCCCAATCGTAGCCTGTAGTAGAAGCTGAACTGTGGACACTAATTATAGTAATGTAGTGTATCTAAAAAGTAAAATGTTTTCTTTTTCAGTGCACATATCTCTCTGTCATGTACTGGTAATGTTGGTGTGTGCGTTTAGATGAAGATGCAATTCTGATTCCTATCACTTATTTTCACACATGGCTCAAGTATGACCCAGTTAGATTTGATCTTACCTTCATGTCAATCCCACCAACAAAGAGGGCATTAGGAGTCAATTTGCCCTCAGGTAGAATGTAGCCATTGGACAACTTCAGTGAGGGTGAAGTGTGGTTGCTATTCCTGGGCTTGTGGATATCCTTAAAATAAAACATTTTAACGTTTAGTTACATGATTGGAATTAATCACGAACGTGTAAAATAATAGTATTTCTCTGGGCCAACCCTTCATGAATACTCAATGGTCAAGTACAAGTCACCTACTAACATTAGTTGATGAGACTGGTTGGTGTGTGTTTTGACTGTTTGCTAACTGGAGCTGTTTCCACGTGATAACCATGAAATCCCGTTGATAAAATATACTAAAATCACCTTATATTTATCACTACGAGTCCAGATTTGACAACACAGGAAAATACTGTTGGGTTTTTTCTTTCTTTTTTAAACTTTTATGTGGCTAAAGTTAACCCTAACGCAATTCCCGGCAAAAAAAAAAAAAGATATAATAGTGGCATGAATGTTAAATGTTAACTGTCTAACTCGACTTCAACTAGCAAGCATTGATCCGTCCAACATTGGAGCAGATACAAAGTTAAGAAAATGACATCGACAAAAAGATAAAAAATCACCGGTAATAAGTTACCGTTAATGTTAGTTATTAATAATATAATGTTAAATACAAGTTAAGGGTGTTAGCCGCAGCAAATGCTAGCTAGAAGCGGCGAGTGCGCCTTTTTCAAAGCGAAGGTCGCTAATTACGAAGCTAGCACATTAACGAAAGTTAGCCTAGCACATTATTAGATTAATGAGCCAACAAGTGCTTTGAGTTACAAGAGGCGATTGCACGGCTGAACTTGTAACAGTGAATCTTTGTGCACATAAACGTGTCACTGAAACTTACCATATCTAAAACAATTAAAAGGAATAAATTAGCCAAACGAAAAAACAAACCGCGGCGCTTCTTGTGCCCGACAACAACCAGCTCACATCGGCCCAAACCACGCCCAGTCCACATGACTCACATAACGTCCTATCAAATGTTTCATAACGTATAACTTACAAAGTTCAATTAACTAACGTGAGCTGCCGCCTCTGGTCTTTTTTAGTCACAGCATCAAATGCGAATCTATCACAAAGAGCTGTAATAGAAAGTTCTGCGAGACAATTTGCTGCATAATTCCTTCTCAACTTTCCTGGGTGACTTTTTAATCAGACCACACCGTAATGTACTGCTGTTGATATGTCACCATATAAAAGCTCATAGACATGGAGTGTAATCTGATTATTTTTTAAGACTGGCATGTTAGCTCAATATATGAGATCACAATGTCATTTAAGGAAATATTCCACTCTTCTTGCTCTTCTCGCACTTGCTCTCTTCTCTTGTGCAGTGCATAGACATAAAACCATTGTGAAGCTGTATGTACCATGAAACTTGGCTTTTGAACAATAAGTCACACAGATCTTCCTACAGATAACTGTTATTGTTTTAAACATAAATAAAAAAGGCACTTAAATTGTACAGCTTGTTGCTAAAAAATGGTAACATTCCATTTAGTTAAATTAATTCATCTAATTAACTATAAAGTGACTAAAATAAATGTTAAAATTAAGAGGTTCTTGGGTATTTATTGAAATTCTCAAGATACAGTGAGAGTTTCTTGGGCCATATACATAAACAACTTGGCTTAACTTTGGCTCCGGCCTTAGTCCTGACTTTAACCCTAGTGATGTTATTCAGAAATATTTTTTCATGCTTGAAAAGAAAGCTTAGATTGAAAACAATGTGTGTATGCTATTTTTGAAATGTATACATGTATTTATAAATGTATAACTAAAAGTTGTGTAGTTTAATATTGTACGCAGTTATATCTTTAATTTTGTCATAATATTCATAGTAATTTAGGCGACAGTTCATTTAGTAATGAAAGCACACTAATACTACATTTCCCCCTATAGAAATGTACATTAGGAGATGGTTGGACGGTGTGAAGGCAGGTTCAGAGGGAGGGGCAGAGTGGCCACCAGAGGGCAGAGTGCAGCTGCTGGATGGTGATGCCTCCAGGTAAACCTACGACAACACATCGACCCAACCTTAAACATTGTAATGGAATTATTAAAAAAACAAAAACACAAAAATGTAAATGTAGTTATATCACAGTGCAGTAGTGGTGGTATTTTCGGCTGTGGCTTTGTTACGTTACATACACATGTGTACCCGGTCAGACCTGTGACCTGAAATAAGTGCACCGCCCACCACATAGCTGAGCTCTCCGACAGTAACAAGGTGGTTGGTGTTGCCATGGAGACGTTCCAGGATGAGATCAACAGTGTTTCAGTTTACAGCAACGTGATGTTTTTTTTTATTTCCTTAGTCAAAGCACTGACAGGGCAAAACTTAACTGCCAGCAGCTTTAAATAGTTCTGGCGATTTGTACAATACAAGTGGCAGGTAAATACTTTCAAACCTCCAAGCAGTGAAGCTAATGTCAGTCATCAGCAATGAATGAAACCTTACCGGCATGACGTTACAGAGCGACCGATAGAAGGTAACTGATATTAACGGCCACTGTGCTTTCTACTCTTTACCTGTTAGGTTATACTGATACAAATAGAAATGTCTCTCTTCATTCATACGTTGTAGTTATTTTTCTGTTTGTTTTCTTTCTGTCACTGGCAGAAAAGCTGAACAACATGGAACGGCTGAAGCAGGTAATGAAAGCTAAACCTGGCTAGCTGACGATAGGTTAATGGTTGACTCTTCCTCTTATCTGTTCGGCTACAGTTTCATCGTGAAATCCCCCCATTTAGTTAAATACTTAAAGTATAGTAGACTTGTTTATCTATATCCTATTTGATATCGTCGTAAAGATAGATTAAATTTGCAGTTTGACACTGAACAACTTTAAAAGAAAAGGCACGGGTGTTTATCATATTAAGTACTGTAATGAAACAATACAGTGGATCTTTTAGGGCATTTAACTGCATCTTTAACTGCATCAAAAAGGCTTGAATAAAAACCAAAAAGTTAAGAGATCATGTAATTAATGCAAGTAAAAGTCACAGTTGTGTTTCAACCTTCACTATTTGTGTCTGAACTACAGATGGAGGATGACTCTATCTGCAATATGAGTCAGAGCAGAGGATATTCGGTTCCCCCACCTTTGCCCATGACTTGTAATGCAGAACCCTCAGAACTGTATCAAGTAAGATTATCAATTAATGTATGATATAAACTTTGCCCAGATAAGCTCTGCGCTACCATACTCCATATTAACATTCAAGCTGTTTTTTTTTATTTCAGATAGTCTTGAGGCACAGTCATTACCCACCCATACTTCAGACCAATTCTTGGACTCTAGCAGCTCCCTTTAAAGAGCAACATCTCCACCGTACGCCCACTGAGTCTATTGGAAACAACTACAGTCCCCGGGCACAGGGCCTTAAAATGACTGAACTCCAGCACAGACGACACACTCTCCGCCAATCCTTGGCAAAACCAGCAGGGCCTTGTATCCTTTCAAGTTCCTCTATCAAACCCTGGTCTGTTTGTCTAAGAGAGGCCCACATGAAAGTATCTGTAATACTGCAATCTTCTTTACTTTGTTATCTGATGATAATTTAGAATATAAACACTTAAGACTGCTCTGGAAACTTCTCAGAATGGATTTTTGATCTTAACGGGGCTTTTAGCATCTACCTCACCTGGAAGGGGACGAGCAGTTTCACCAAGGAGAAGGTAATTATGCCCTTAAAGCAACACATACGAGCTATAGCTTATCTTTTATGAAGCATTTGATCTCATCAGTTCATGCTTTCACAGGGATAGATCTTCTCATGCTTCACTCTCACCTCAACCAAAGCCAAGATCGAGAAACTTTTACACTCCCAGTAGCCGGCCTATGAGTCCTAATGAGCAGCTGGACGTCATGTACAGCCAAGAGGAGGAAATTAGGGTCACGCAGCAAGAACCTAATGAGAAAGACCTGGAAGCAAGTATCAATAAATTCAGAAATGAACCAGTCAGTTGTTGATTAGAATGTTTTGAGTGACATTTTTCTCACACTGTTGATCTTAACCTTTCTCACACAGAGGTATATGTACTACATCTGCACTGGTGTCCCCAGCTCTGTGCTAGCCCCCCAGCCAGACCAGCAGATGATGAACATCAAGTGCCTGCTGCCTCCTGACACTGAAAATAGTAGTAAACAACTCCTGATTATGAGGGCAAACCTGGAAGAGGAGGTCGAGAGAGATTATTACTTCAGCCTCAAGAAGAGCATAGGTATTAAACAATCAGATTTAATATTAGCATTTCTTTATTTAGACATGTGACAGTAACACAATCCTTTCTTTATACCTGTTTCCATCTATATCTGCAAGCACATTTTGTTGCATCATAAAACACAAAAAACTGATTATTTTACATGTATGACCATATGGGTTTGACCAGCCAGTCACTGTAGTTGGTGGCTTAGTTAACTACTATTTTCCTCTGTGATGAAATGCCTCCCTTTCATTGAAAATTACATTCTGTCACTCTGTTCAATCTGTTTTTGTCTTCCTTGTTGTTCTTTGACAGTGGACTACATTCTGATGGATCCGTCTGAGCGCCAGCGACTGTCCATATCCAGCATCCCCGAGCCCTTTCCCAGGAGGGTGATCCGTGCCCCAGTGCCCTGGGCAACAAGTTACAAGGAGGCCCACATGTGGCAAAGCCAACATTTGTTTACTATCAGTCCAATCATGGTCCTACTGCAGGATGTCTGGCTAAACAGGTAATACAGAAGTGTACTGGTCTACTGGGTTGGATAATATTTAATTATTTATAGAATTGGTTCCAGCACTCACTGTAATCTAAGACTTTTCATTTCATTTTCATTTCTTCAAAATTAATTAAGTCATTCATCCATATCTGACTAGACAGTCTGAACACTTTCTTCTTCCTTTATGTTGCAGTAATGTGGCTGTATTTTACTTTAGATACAGATACAGAAGTGCTGTTTTGTGGAATTCATCATTCATCATTTTTATATCTTAAACCATCTGAAAAAAACATTAATAACTTCCCGATTGCAGTGTTGTTGGACATCTGGAGTTATGTATATGTTTTTTTTTCCTGGTCTCCTCTTCTCTTTTATTTATTTTGTGGTAATCTTTTTATTCCTTATTGTTTTCTTCAGTGTAATTCTGTTTATCTTGCATTGAGGAGTCTTTGTTACCTCTCCTGCACAAGCTCTTGTTTACTTTGAATTTGGATGTGTTTATTTTCAACAAATAAAATGTAAAATAAATAATCTTGTTTCAGCTTCTCATCCTTGAGATTTGTTCGACTGGAAGACCTTTTCTCCACCAGTCTCCCACTCCTGCCATCTGAGTTTGAGGAGTTTATCCAGAGACAGTGCCAAACCACAAGAGATGAGCTACTCCAAAAGTGAGTATTGCCATTTCGCCAGACTATCTCCAAACAGCCAGTCTGTCAGTGAGAACATAAGGTGACGTTCAGAGTTAATCATTGTATTGTTTCTTTTCAATGGCTTCTATAAAATGTACACAACCAAGAGAGCTAATCCTGTTGTAGGTGCAGTCTCGTGTTTCCATCTTGTCCCCACTTTGTCAGACCCATGTCAGGCTACCTTTCAGGGGATTGCTTTACACACTGCCTCACTTTAGGTCTCCATAGAATCCTTTGTAGCATGCGTGTTAGACCACGCAGCAGCCCTGTATGCTGTCTGGCTGCAGGACTGAAATATGAGCCACTGTAATTAGTAGAAACTGTCTGCTGTTTGTTTATTTTCATGTTTGTAATTTGCACCCGCTTGGATACCATTATTCTCAGTTATGGTGTCTCAGTTTCCCATGCCAGCCATACTCGATCCAGAGGACATTATGTGTCTCTATGGGGTTATGAAAATGTCAATAAGAACCAGGGAGTACATATTTCATGTTGAGGATATAACATTGCATTAACTACATGCATAACATATTGTAGAATTTGAAACAGAAAA